GTATTCTTAGTGTATTTAAGGCCAAATTTTTACATATGAATCCATACAGGCGAGTAGTTTTGGGTGACATTTGTTGGACGTGAGGAGATAAATCAAGAGCATTTGTATAGTTGAGAAATACATCTTTTACCGATTGGGCCTCTGTTATTTCATTATCCTCGAATATTGGGGGGGGGGGGGGGGAGTTTTTGAGGGCCAAAGATCAGGAGATGGCATTTCGCAGGCGGGAATGTCAATTGCCGCTGACTACTCCAATCGCTGAGTTTTCTGAGATCGGTTTCAATTGTTCTGTGAATATTGGCTACTGTATTAACGTTAAATGCATATACAAGTTTCAGGTCGCCCGCACATAAAAACGTCTCAGCTGAATTTAAGAAAATCGAGAAGGGGTGGCCTAATTCCATGACTTTTAAGCTTTATTAGTAGTCTTTTATGGGGGACTTAGTCAAAGACGTTTTTAGACCGAAGTATATTGAAACTTCTCTGTTTCCGTCAGCTCTATTGCTGAACACGAATGCCAGAAAAGTGAGATGGCAGGACTGACATGACGTTTTAGGTAAAAATGCATGTGAGGAGGGGGAAATGAGGCTAGCCTTTACGAGATGGTCTAGCAATTGGTTGTAGACTATTTTCTCAAAGATTTTAGCTATAGCCAGAGTTCGGTGAACACCACGATAGGTTTGGGTATGAGATCGGTTGCCGCTTTTAAAAATACGTGCAATGCTCGAGTATTTCCACATGTCCGGAAGAATTTCACTTGACTGGACTAGGGTGAATAACTTAAATAGGAGTACTGGAGCATATGTCATATGCTTCAGAATACATAGCGGGATTTTGTCCGTCCCATATTGTTGGCGTTCGATAGTTGTTTGATAGCTACTTTAGCAGTTTCTTCACTAAAATGGAGGACACTAAGGATGCGTTCTGTCATCTCGTTCGGTTGGGAGGGGGGGGGAGAGGTCGCTCCCTCCTCGACTGTGTAGTCAGTTGAGAAGTATTTGTTGAATACGTTTGCTTTTTGGTTGTCATTTGTTATCACGTGCCCTGATTCATCAATAATAGTTCATGGTCGTGACTGCCAATGATTATTCATTTGCTTCTTAAACATCTGAGCTGTTCGTTCAAGGGATTATAGTGCCCGATGTTCTGCTGCTATGGTCCTTTGGCTTTCCATTTTCGTGACTAGGTCGTGAAGTGTGGACAAATAAATTACAGAGGGGCTGTGTAGTTGTTTTTGTTGTTTTGTTGAACGTGCAAGGTCAACGCTCGCAGCATGATTTTGAAAAGATTAGTGAAAGCTATATTTTTAGATTCAATTTCTTAATCTCTTGCACAATTTTCCAGTGTAGATTTGACAAAATTTCCTATTTTCTGTCGTAAGTCATCTTTGCTTCCCGTCGTGTTTCGTCGATTTATCATAAAGCAGAAACATAGTGTCATAGCTTTTTACCCAACGTAGCCTCAATCCTATTAAGTTTTACCCGCATATGCAAAAGATTTTCCTTGTAACATTTTGTATAAAATGATATTTTAAACGGTACACAGCGTCTATTGACCGCATTTATCGTCGGTTTATTGACTAGTAAGTGAACTGTACGGTTTTCTATTTTATCCTACATAGCCTCATTATCCCATTCAATTTTATTCAAGTTCTGTTTTGCCACCCACGAAATTGTCATTTACCCGTTTTTTACGTTTTCATTCTGTTACTGAGTACAATTTGCTTAGTAACTGTTGCGCTGGCTGATCCACCAATATTGATAGCTTTCAGAAATCGTTTCATCATACATAGCCTCATCCATATATCCTCGAAGTTTCGGCAGTTATCATCCCTATAAATTTTTGGAGTAGAGTCTTGTTTTGCTTTTCTCGACATGAAACCTCAGGCAACCCTTCGTCGAAATCTGAAGGAAACTAAACTCCATTTGAAACCGATTGTTCATATGAAAAAATAGACCTAGGCGCGCTCGATAATTTTAACCATTTTTATGTCTCGTTACGGATCAATTTTTTTGTTTTTGGTGTCCATCTTGACGGAATGTTGCCAACACTTACGTCTCAGCAGTGTGAGAAGCTCATGCCTATCATTGACCTGGTTGCTAGTGAGAATTAAGACAGGCACAAACGAAGTTTCAACTTTATTTTTAAAAAAACGTACCTAAGAGTAGACAGCCAATCGATGCCGCTTTTCCCATCCTTTATTCATGCGGCTTTAACTTTAGGGTCGTAGAAGCTAAAATACTTTCGTCGAGGAACAAAAATCCACCAATTCTTGTCAAACTCTTTCTGTCGATAGAAGTGGAATTTATTTTCTCCCATTTGGAGTAATCGGCTCAATATCTCAGGGGAAATAAGCTTGTTATTAGTCGAGATCAAACTCCACTGCAACGAAGAGTAACCTCCCCCGTTAACAAACGTAATGCCACCCCGAATTCTAATCAACAGCCTTTTGCCTCCAAATCAGTTTCTCCACCGGACGTCGACCAAATCGCTCCACTATCGACAACAGCCCCAGTACCATCAATCTCTTCGACTGATCACATTATCACAGGGTCAGTTCAGACTAGCCTCCTTAAAACTTTCCCAAGAAGCAAGGATTGTTCAAATGCGGCTCTCACTTTTAATAGGGAGCTTGATCTTAACAGCAAAGATGAGTTAATCCTTGAAGCACAGCCGTCTCCCAGCACTCAGAATAGCGATCTAGTTAATAAACCTGCATCGAATTCATCCCGTTCCCGCGCCTGGCCACTCAGGTCTGACCTCGTGGTTAGGTCCAAATAGCTAGATGTTAGTTCAGGGAGATCGTTACCTGTTCCTATCCTGACTTTTCACCTTAACGTATACACCCCAGTTGTGAAGCCCTCTTAAGCGCCAGCCTGCAAAATGCAAGTACATAGCATTGCTGATAACTTTTCCAATCCCATTCCTAGTCTGACACCCCAAATAATAAAGCCATTTTCTGACGTTAACTGTTTCTCGAAACCATAACATGAACTACCCCTCATAATATGTTCAAAATTTACAAAATCCTATTTTCATACCTCCTATTTTTGCAACCAAACAAAATAGCCCTCCTCTTCCTGGGTCCTCGTCAAATGTTTTTTCCACATAATGCTGCATCTCTAGTTAGTAGTTAATCCACAAATTTTAGACCGCAGCAACTTTGTCCTTCACCAATTGCTTCCTCCCAACACCTTAATGTTCCACCTCCGGCTCTTCCTTTTTTATAAGTAGCAATGAGTGGAACCTACCTATTAGGAATACGCTCAGTATTGTCTCTCTCAATCTCAATTAGTCCACTCTTCGTACAGAAACGATAGTGTTTTAGACTTAATTTTTACTAATGAAGCCTTCCCTCTATCTGTGGATTAATATCATGATTTTTTCGCGAGTAATCATGCATTAATCTATTGTCGCCTTCCAGTTGCCATTGCCGCACAGCCAACGGTACAACGTAGTATTTTTGACTTTACTAATGTTAACAAGGAATTGGCAAATAACTTTATAAGCGCTCTTAATTGGCACAATATTTTTTAAATAATGTTCTTAATTTTTTAACAATTTCTTACAATGCGTAACAGAAAGTCTTCTGGACCTTATTCCCCGGAAGATGTTCAAATCGAGTGCTGATTCCACCGCTGTCCCATACTTTGACAAAAACAGATTTAAAAAGCTACAGAAGCAGCTTAAAGATCCTTCTGTGAGCTCACTATCAGTTTATCTTAAAATCTTTGAAATATTTGAATAAGCTTCGAAAATAAGGCTCACGCGAGATAGGCGTAGAGAGCCTTTAGCTATTAATGACAAGAATGCTTCTGAATCAGTTGCTCAGATCCTCCGTCAAAGATCATCTGCTAAATCCTACCAAGTCATTCCGCTTTTGCTTAGTACCAAGGATACCTTCATTACAGAGAAGTCAGGCAAGGCTGAAATGTTAAATACTTTCTTTGACAAATATTTCACTAGTGAAACTAACCCAATTCCTATAATTCCTCCGTTTCCTAATGCTTATCTTAGCATAATTAATTTTTCTCCTGAATTTGTTCTAAAACTGAATAACCATCTTCCCAATTCTCACTCAGTAGGCACGGACAATATCAAAAACTCCCTTATAGAACAGCTACGCGATTTCCCTCCTCTACTTAGCAAACTCTTTTCAGTATTTATCGTAAATGGCTTCTTTCCTGACTATTGGAAAACTTCTATTATTTTTCCTGTACTTAAGTTTGGCTGTCGATCTGACGTTCAGAACTATCGAGGTGTCCATAAAACACCTTCTCTCGCCAAAACCTTTGAAAAAAATATTGCCTTAAAAATTACTGACTTTTGCACAGCCAATCAAGTTATTAGCTCTTCCCAGCATGGCCTTTTACCAGATCGCTCTTGTGAAACATGTCATTTGTTGTTTCTAAGTCTATTTACTTCTCTTTGTATTGACCATCTATCTGATGTCGTTATTTATTTTGACCTTAGTAAAGCCATTGATAATGTGCCACATAAAAGACTCTTGGTTAAAATAGAAGCTCTGGGAATTCGCAGTCTTCTAATAGACTTTATCAAGTCAAGTACGCTTTCTGCAGGAGACTGAAAAGTAGTGCATTTAAAAGCCGACATTCTGCCGAGTCCGAAATGTTATAAGAGTATGCCACAAAATAATCAGTATTACAACCGCGACCAAATTATCCTTCCTAATCGAAAACGCATTTCAGAATTTCAGACAACATTTCATGAGATAGGTCACTCACTGTACCTGTCTAATCGTAAACGAAAGGTTTTGTGGGATCTTAACTTCCCAGTGAAAACTCTATTATAAATGGTGTCCTACAAGGCACTGTTTTAGGTCTCTTTTTATTTCTGCTTTACATTGCAGTTAAACATTCTCGACCATTTATTTATTCGGATGATCTCAAATGTGTATATTCCTTCAATAAATCTACGAGCCTTCATTGCCTGCAGCAAATCCATGCTGATTTGTTTTCTCTCTCAGCTTGGGGCTCAAAATGGCTAATGGAATTCTCTCCATGCCCATGCACGAGAGCGGCCTTGATCGCACTCCCGACACACCCACTACATCCAACACATCCACCGTGCACACCCCCACTCTCGTTCCATCCGTCCGCGACACCACCACCACCACCACCACCACCACCACCACCACCACCGCCTCCTCTGTAGCTGACACTGACACCGCCGACTTCTCATGCCCACACTGTCCACGCACATTCACCTCACGCATCGGCCTGGTCGGTCACTTGCGAATCCATCGAACAGAGACTGGCGAACCAGTGCCTGGAGCACCCACCTATACCCATCAAGCTCGTCTCAACTGCCCACACTGTCCTCGCACTTTCAGGCATCGCATGAGCCTATTCGGCCACATGCGCATCCACGACGACCTGCGGTAGACAACCGCCGGCCACACCACACATTCACTCACCCCTACCTCCTCCACCACCACCATCACCCCACCAGAAATCAACACTCACACACCTCATGCACCCAACTGCCACCTCCCACGCAAGTGGGCAGTCCGCATCTCGACTCGGTCCCCATGCGGCTTCGGCTGCACGGGTGACTTGAGTCCGAGACTATCCCGACACGTCGAGCATCGTGGATAGGAAGGTTGCTGATTGAGGCCTGCTCTTGGTTCACGCAGTTCGTCGCGTTGTGTGTGTTGTGTGGAGTGGCGGACTGGTGGGCTGGGAACGAGCTAAAACCGCACCTTCCACGGCACTCTCACGCAAGTGAGAGACACGCCGTTCAAACAGCGTCGTTTGAAATCCTTGTGTTTGTGTGTGTATGGGGGGCCAGGTCGTGCCGTGGCGCGCGCAGTCGTGGCCAGTCGACCATGACAGCCACCGCGCCCATTCCCCACTCCAGTCTGCTGACCGGCTCGGACAGCGGCTGGGGTGTGGGAGTGGGAAGGGAGAGTGAGGTCGACGACTCAGCGCACTTCCTCCTCACTATAAACAATTTGACGCGCTTGAAGCTATCACTGTGCGCTAAAAGCCGTGGCTTGGAAGGTTGCCAACTGACGGGGTAACGTGGACCTCCTCCTTGACCGGAGGCGGTCTGAGAGTCAGGCTGCAATGGCTCCTTTTTAATGTGGCCTTTATGGCACTCCCATCACAGTGTGGGATCCGAGCCAGGCGTTGGCGGCACGCCCAGGTGCGGCTTCGGTCGTGCCAGCCTTCAAATTTCTCTTGTGTTGGTTGAAATCCTGGTTATTCGTTGTGTGGACCAGGGGGTGTGATGGAACGTCAAGGTGAGGATCCGTCCGAGCCATCCGCCTGCGGCCTCCCTCGTCTCCGGTCTTCTTGACTCTGTCTTGACACCGGGCTCGGTCGAGGGTGGATGAGAGAGTGTAGGTAAATGCTACGCAAGTCTACCGGCACTATAAACCCCTGCGTAAGTCACCGTCCCTGCTCCCATTGCTGCTGCAACTGTGGGGCACACGGTGGACATCATCGAAACCGATGGTCGAACTGTCATGTGTTTTAGACCTGAGAGACTACCTCAATCAGTGGTCTTTCACGGCACACCTATGAATGAATGTACCACCATCAATGATTTAGGTTTAGGAAGGCCACTGACTCGCGCCAACGTCGTCAAAAATAATAATACATCTTGTATTACGCATGATATTAATGACTGCGGTGTTAGACGTTCTGCTGTCAGACCAATGCCCGTAAAACGAGCAAAAAGTCTAGTGACGTTGGGGGATGTCACATACGACGATGAAATCTGTACCACATGTTTCGGACTCATCCATAAGTTTTCAAAAATGGGGGGGGAGTAAAAAGGTCTAAAAATGGAGGTAGAAAAGCTAAGGAAGCTTACTCACCACTTACGTGAAGAGAAGAAGCCGACGAATTCGGCAATCCAGAATCCGAAAAAAACACATGCAACCACGACTTCTTTAGCCATATCAAACGCTGAAACTGACGAATGTTCCTCCAGGGAACTAGACACAGTTGAATGCCAGTCTCTTAGGCGAGAAAAAGACCAGCCAAAGCGAACTCAGATAACAAAGAAACATTCCAGAAAAACAACGCGCACCTCTGTACGGTCAAAAAACGAAGGCCGCCTACGTACACGCAGACCAGCGAAGGAGAACGACCAGGAGGCCTACGAAGGACCGCCAGAGGCTCCCAAATATTTTGAACAATAAAAATATCGGAACACCTTGTAGACTGAATATTCAGGGGGAGGTTTCGAAAGGAACTGAGACAGGAGCAGTTGACGCCCAATCGTAGAAATACCTAGACAGTGTGCTCGTTCCCGGAGCCTAACTTAGAGGGCTTATCAATTAGCGCAATGACACATGGTTATGGACCCACGGTGGAATCAGCTGCCACCGCGTATTCCCATGTCAACAGAGTTGAGAACCGAGCCGAGGAAACCTCCAATTCATGGGAGTCAAACTCTCTTCAGAGCCCTCTGATGGGAGGCAATGCCGATCAACCGCATTGTGTAACTATTCGCGATGCCTCAACAAGATCCGCGGACAAACTTCACGGGGACATAAATACCAAGATGACAGTCCCCTCCCTTTCGCCAGTCCACATCGACGAGGGCAAAGGACCGGTCAGCGACGTCCAAACAGCAGAACACAGAGGAATGCTTAACAAGGATCACTGCGTCATAATTCAGGGCCTCCCGGAGTCCTTCGCCAGTACCCCCAGGGAACGAGTCGCTGCTGACTTAGAGCAATTCCAGAAACTCCTAAATGAAATGCTGCAACCAACAGAAGATGTCACAGTTCTTAAGGCGTTTCGTCTTGGTAGCCGTACAACCGATGCTCCACAGACACGACCAAGACCCCTGAAAATTGTCCTAGGTAGCAATGAGCAGGCGAAACTAATCCCTTCCAGACGTTTTCGATTGAAAAATTTCCCATAAAGGAGTGTTTTTTTCAGCCGGACTACTCACCTGCCGAGTGAATGAAACGCTGCGAACTTGTCTTAGAATTAAGAACACGACAACTAACGGAGAAAAAGACTTGACAATCTACAACGACCGGATAGTCAAACGATGTTCCGCCCCCCTCTGGATCAAGCCGATCCGAATGACCGCCCAGATACCACGGTAGCCTGTGTGAGGGTTGATAAAAAATCACGCATGAACTTGAAACTCGTATTCGTGTATACCAACGCGCAAAGTGTACTATTTAAACCTAATGAACTTCGTACCCTTGCCCATGACATCCACCCAGACGTTATCTCAATAACAGAAACGTGACTGTCCGAACAGATTGATGACAGAGAAATCATGCTCCCTGGATTTCAAATGTTCCGCAGAGACAGACAAAACATAGTAATATTTGTTAAGAACGGCTTATACGTTTCAGAAAAAAGTGCCCAATTGACTTGTATTACGGAAGCGTTGTGGCTGACCATAAGGTCAACGGGCTCTCAAAGCCTCGATATCTTGACAGTATATCGCCCCCCGAGAAATGACCCTGACGTTGATGCCCAACTGCTGTAGGAGCTTAGGCTTTTTTTAACGCGACCGACTACTCTAATCGTTGGAGATTTTAATGCACCTCACATAAACTGGAGCTCGGCCTCAGCCGACTGCTCTGAAGCAGCATTCGACCAGCAGTTACTGCGTACCTCCGACAACCTGCTTCTGACCCAACACGTAATGTTTCCAACGAGAATTCGCCAAGGCCAGCAAATGAATTGCCTTGATCTAGTGTACACCAAGTCCTCTGACAATATCGACGTTGTGAATTGCCTCCCCCCGTTTGGTCAGAGTGACCATGTAGTTCTCATGTGGGAATACACCTTATTCTCCCTTCCTGCACAACCGCTCGATTTCCGACCCAATATTTGGCACCGAGATTTCGAACAGATGAGAAGGGATCTTAGTCCTGTCGACTGGGCATCCACTCTATCCGGCGATGTCGAAGAGGTTTGGTGTCAGTTCAAAGAGTTAGTCCACAACCTCATCTCCAACCATTGCCTAATCATGCGCAGAAGACTAACAAATAGACCCCGCTGGCTGACTCCGTCCTTAAAGAAGGAGGTTAACAAGAAGAGGAAGTTGTGGAAAAGATCCCTGACTGACCGGACACCAGAATCCCTAAGCAGTTATAAGTTACAGAGAAATCGGGTCAAAATTCTCATCGCCAAAGATCGGAAAGCCTTTGAAAATGATCTTCTGAACCATGCCAGGGTAAGTCCAAAGTCCTCTACAGCTACATAAGACAGAGCACGCGGAACAAAGACCCCATCCAACTGCTGCGAACAGCCGAGGAAATGGAAATCTTCGATGACAAGGATAAGGCTGAACACTTCTCTCAGTTCTTCCGGTCCGTCGTGACAAGTGAGCCAGATTTTTTCTCTACCATTTGTGAAGACGAAAAAACGCCTACCCTTGAAGTCGTATTCTTCACCGAAGCAATTGTTCGGAATGAGTCACTTAATCTGAAAGAATCGATCTCCCCAGGCCATGATGCAATCCCCGCCAAACTGCCGAGGGAGCTAGCTCCCGAAATTTCCGAGTCATTAGCCTTGATCTTCCAAACGTCATTTCTTACTGGACACCTGTCCTCTGATTGGAAGTCCGCTACCATCACTCCGCTTTTTAAGAGCGGAAGTCGTGCGTCTGCGAATAACTACAGGCCAGTGAGTCTTACCTCCATCTGTTGCAAAATCATGGAGAAGATCATTGAGAAGGCTTTGATGCAGTTTCTCGTGCAGCACCACCTCCTCTCGGGTGCACAACACGGCTTTCGAAGTGGTAGGTCCTGCCTCACGAATGTGCTCTTTACGCTCGAACGCTGGACCAAAGCACGCGATGAAGGTAGTGTGGTGCACGCCATCTACATCGACTTCAAAAAGGCCTTTGACAGCGTTCCCCACCAACGTCTCTTGCACAAACTGCGCAACGCTGGAATTCGTGGACGCCTTCTTGTATGGATCCAGAGCTTTTTGGCTGGACGGTCCCAAAGAGTGCAGGTCGGGCGTCAGCAGTCCTCAGAGGTAAGCGTGGTGAGTGGCGTCCCACAGGGCTCATTCTTACGTCCCACGTTATTTCTTGTCTTCATAAATGACTGCGTCAAGGACTTAGACTGTGATACCATCCTGTTTGCCGACGACATTAAATTGTGGAAAGTTTTTCACAATGCGGCAGACGCAGACCGCCTGCAAGCAAACCTGAACAGACTTGAAGACTGGTCAAAGCGCTGGCTTATGCCCTTCAATATAAACAAGTGCAAATTTCTTCACCTAAGCAGCTTTAGAGCCGCCAGCCCCAGGACTTACTTTCTAGACGGCACACCACTGCAAAAGGTTGATAGTCAGAAGGACTTGGGTGTATGGATTACATCTTCACTCAAACCAACACTGCACTGCGCGAAGGCGGCTAAATCGGCTATGGCTACACTGCAACTCATTAAGCGGGCATTTATGGGATTTGACTCAGACAGCTTTTCAAAAATATTTGGCACCTACGTGAGGCCTCATCTAGAATACGCCATACAGGCGTGGAGGCCCTGGACTGTCCAGAGACGGGCGCCCAAAATGACACAAGGTCTGGGTGCGCTGTCTTACGAATCCCGACTGTCAACTCTCAACCTGTTTCCACTTTCCTACAGGCAATTACGTGGTGACCTTATACTTGCATTTCGCATTATCAACGGCCTAGACTGTTGTTTAGATCCCACTGATTATTTCACACAAGCTAACATGCCCACTTTGCGCGGTCATCCCCTAAAACTACGCGCCGGGAAAGCAAGGATCAACCGAAGAAAGTTATGTTTTCAGTCACAGGGCGGTTGCAGCGTGGAATGCCCTGCCCATCGATGTTGCAACCTCCTCCTGTGTGAATTCCTTTATGTTTAGACTTGACGCGCATCAAGCCTCCCAGTTACCAGTCTTACATCCACTCACATAACCCGGCACCAACTTAAACTTGTTTATACTGCTGGTAACTAGTTAGTAACCGTTACTGATTACACTTTTTGACTAGCTGTCAGCGATTACGTACAAAACCCCTTTTTCTCCTTCCCACTATCAATGTTTTTCTCCGACGACTTGTAACCAATAAGGAGTTCAATGGCGTTCGCCTATATTTCCCTTAATAAACTGAAACTGAAACTTATAAAATGTAAGTAGGTTGTTTGGGAAGACATGCTTCATTATTCCGTGCTCCAGAATTAATTTAATATATTTCATGTTTTCCAGTAAACTGTACAGTCAATCAATTTCAAATTAAGATAATTTAGTGTTCTCCTTCTGGGTTTTGCAGTTTACTTATTTGAAGTAATGTGAGTGCACAAAAGCCCGCACCTCTTGTACTGCGTGCGACTCGAGTAAACCCGATAAGTGTTTAACAGCTAAAATTAGCTAATTTCAGCATGCATTATTCACTCGTTAATGAATAATGGGATCAGGTTAAAATGTTGGGTAAGTCTGCGTTGACGGTTTGTGTATGAAAATTGTGTTAGTTGTGCGATCACCAAAATACTCCTCATTTGTTTGCAATTACAGGCAGTGTTTCTCACAGCAGGTGAACACTTTCAATCTATTAAATTGCAAAATCTGGATGCTTACATTTACGTTAACAAAAAAATCAAAGGGATGCAGGCAAGACACATACGTTTTCATGCTGAGACAAACGTGAGCATGTTTCTTGAAATAATCAAAGCGGCAAGCGACTGTATTGTCGACGCGCCGATGTTGAATGGGAAGCAACAAATAATGGCCGCTGAATATTTAGTAAGTGCAGTTGCCTTGCCATCCTGTAAAATGAGGCGATACAAGTTAACCTTTTTACGGTTTGGATAATCGCCTGCATCAACTAACGCTTGGAGCATTTCAGATACGGTATTACTGTCCTATAAATCTCTTCATGGTCTTTTGCAAAGTTACGGGGAAAAATGGAAATTTTATCCTAAAACATCTTTTTGATGTAAGTTTTTTAGCACAGAACATATAATCCAATAGTACTTTCTTAAGTTTTTTTCCATTTAGAAGAAGGATATACTTCTAATATTTACGGAGTTCAATGCAGTGTTACGCCAGGGTACAAATTACAATGGTTTGTGCCCATAATTTATGGCCGTAAAATGCAAACGATGGTCTCATAACCGTAGTACAAATGAACTCTCATTAGTTGATCATTTATACAATAAAAGGGAGTAACTGAGACCATCCAAATGGTACAGGTGATTTGGAACTTAAAGGCACAATAATAAGCTCAAGCATATATTTTAAGGACTCGATGTGTCTTGAGGTCAGAAACTTGTTTTTGAGTTGGATCCCGACTTATGGGATGTTTTTGAAACCGAATATCATAAAAACGCAAACGGAATATTGTTCGTTAACAAAGACCGTAAGGCGTACCCTGCAGGCGCGTTTGATCGTTTTCACTCCGGAAGACGTGATTTCTTCCAAATTAGCAGGCACTTCCATATGCCGTACCAGTGAACTTAGTAATTGATATCTACGAATCATGGTTATCAGATGCTGTGCACTACTGTCACACTACTCACGTATTCATTTAGTTATGCATTTGCTTTCTCAGTCAGTGTTTGCGAATGTTGTTCATAATCATATAAATTTACTGGACCGTTATCACATTGAGCAAGAGCAGATTACCGTCGCAATACGAATGCATCTATGTGGTCAATAATAAACGACTGTGCAATCCGACGAATAATACAGCCTGCCAGTGACAGTGAGCCCATTTGCACAACAATAATCACACAAGCATCTAACGCGGAGGACGAAATCGCGACAATTAATGACTTGGAAGAGGACTGACAAGATATCATCGCATCAATTACGACCCCACCGTTGATTACGAGAGCTAGCGCAGGAGGAATTAGCTTTATTTTGAAATCGTAAATGCAACATTTTCTGCAAAAAATGGGCTCCACTTACTGCGGGCAGTAAGTAAATAATCAGATTACTCCAGAGTCAAGGCATTTGGCCAAAAGGAACGATTTTTACTGGGACAGTTCAAGTCTTAGTTTTTTGATTTCTATTTTGGCTTTAGTCGACGATTTTAGTTCGTATATGGTTCCATGGCAGCCACGTGCTATAAATACTGCACTCCATGTACCATCAATACCCTTATCTGTGACTGTCTCTGATGATGGATTTGAGTAAGAATCGAAAGCAACAGGACGATAAATTTCTTGTTCCAGCAATCGCATCTTCGTTTTCTGAACTGCTCCCTAGAACTCGCCTGTTTGGTCCTATCAGTACACTTGCTCATATCCATATTTCTGAGCTGGCATACGGCCGACTGCCGGTTGGAATTAATTCGTCCATAAAGAAATGAAGCCAATGCGCTCAATACAAACATATATAATGATAAACAGAAAGCCAGAGCATTGGTATTGCAGTCGATCATTAAAATGAAAATAAATTAAGAAAACCATTCTGACGGGCGTTTGCTAGGATGTTTTTTTAATTACTAAGTCCGTTTAACGATCTCGAAAGAAAATATCTAGCATAATCGGTTGCATACTAGTAACACATGTAGTGGCTCATTTTAGTGCCTAAAAGATTCAGTAAAAGTTAAAAATATTACATCCCATTCATTCATAGATCACATGGACATATGTTATACTACGTTCCGAGTTATGAATTAGAAGTGACTGTTTCATTCTCCCTCATATTTGCCGGATCTCACTAATAGTATGTGCCACACATCTTCGTGCAATCACCAGAGGGGCTATAGATTAAGCCCCAAGCAGAAAGGACTAAAATATCTTGAAGAAGGAGACACGATCGCTGGGACAAGAGCTTTATTAGCCTGACGTTTCGGATTCCTACTTGAATCCATCATTAGAGACAAAAAAGCAGAAACGGGTCCTTTAATCTGAGTGATGATGTGCACGATCTCATAATTAATACTCCCCATCACAACGGACATGTCGACGGGTGTGTGGCTATGTGGTTGTGTTAAACTCAATTAAAAATATGCCGCGGTCGAATGTTCGGTAATTCATATCCGGAGTAATTAATGGCCGATTGGTAACGGCTAATAAGCCAGAAAGGACCATTCTGGCCCTCCCTATTTCCGTCAATATCTTATTAACAATAGGTCGCCAATTTGGCAAATAAATACACATCGTATTAGTCGCCAGAACGCACACTGCGTCAGCTCCAAATTAAGCTTTAGGGCTGAACGGGAGGACGATGTCCCAGCTGTCCCATTAACTGCAAACTTGGCTGATGGAATCCGGCCCAAATATTCATACATAAAAACTTAGGTCTGATTATGACAGTGGGCGCTCCCAGATCATGTTACGGAACACGGCCGTTACGTTATGTTTTAGGCTCATATTAGAACCCTCACAGGCAGTCGCACAAAGACCAAAGATCCCGTGTTCAAATATCAAGAATTTCACACTTGGGGTTGGGTATGACTGGTTGATGACGTCTAATAAGGTCTGATCCTATAGACGTTAAATATGCTGATCTACTCTAAGTTCGCAGTAAATTCTTAGGAATTTTAAAGGCTACAATTGCAGGTGATCAAACAAAGTGGAAAATTTCGTAGTTGCAACTGAACCGGTTATTTACTTTTTCGCTGCGGTCACCTAACCTGAGTGCATAACTTATAAACCATGGACAGTGGACAAACTCCTGTGGAGTTTTGACCGTTTAACCTTCCAGGAAAGATGTGGATATGTAGCCCAACCTGAGGTAACCAATTCCCTAGCCACTTGTAATAGGGGACTTGTGGTAATCGAGCTTTACGGGTGGAGCCGGGAAACACACATGCGACGAGGTCAAGTAGTTTTATGAAATAGGAACCCAATTGGCAGTTCGCGGTTTTACTTTAAGCGATTGAGAAATAGTTGCCCTAACCCTCGAGCACATCTTATTGTTTATCCTAACCTATGGTTGTGAGACTTGGTATTCTAGCAATGGACGATAGTCATACGATCAGCATATGTACTCGTCGAAGCGCTGAGCACATGAATCGCCAAGTTTCTCTCGCACACGTAAAAAACAACATAACGGTAGTTGATTCTCCCAACTCATCTAGTAATCTGCGTTTTCAGCTTAGCGCCAATTAGGATGAGGCCTGCTACTGCCGTCCTCACTTAATCCGGCTACATCCCTGCAAGCACCAGCCCCGCCTATGAAGGGGCCATGTGCTGGCAGGGATTATTATGAGATGACGCTATCCGAACTGACTTTCGTCATACAACGTACCGTCCGTTGTTTAAAAAGGGATTGGACCTGTTAAGCAACTGAAATGCGCACACTGAGATCAGGGTTATCCATGTCATAGTCACGTAGTTGCGTATTATCACAATTGCGAAATGTGCATTTAGGTTTAGGCCGCCTTTGCCTGAATAATTAGAAGGCTTTAAGGGGAACTATGGAAGACAAAATCTGCTTCGTTGTACGTTCTTTCTATGGTGCAACGCCAGCGTCGCTTGATTGCGTTTGAGACGTTGTCGCCCTTAAATGTAAACATATTATAAGGGGCTGTTTCGGAACGGACCTTTCCGTCAACTTTTGCCGTAAATTGTTGCTGTTCTTCTGAATGAATCGTGCAGGATATCCACGATTATGTAAGGCTTCTTTGATGCTGGCAGTTTCTGTATCCATGGTCTCCCTGGAGCAAATACTTTCGCTCTTTGAAAAAAGTAGGTACTAGACTTCATTTCTATTGTATTGGTTCGAAGCTCTTATGCTTTAGGTATTGCCCTTCCGATGTATTCTTACTGAAGTCTGAACGCCTTATTGAACCATCATTCTCCCCAAACATGCGGACGTCTAGGAAAGGTAACTCGTTACACTGCTCCATTTCTATCGTCAATTTGACTTTCGGATGCCAAATTATTCATCACACAAAGAAGGTCGGCGGCATC